CTTAGAGACATATTTTAAATTCCATAATCAATGCAATCACTGGGCTATCTCCCAGTGGCATTTTGGGAACCAAGGCCGATGAGAGGGCGTCTGGAAGTAGAAGGCATCTTCCTCTCATTCATATTGGACACAGAGGTAGTTAATATCTCTGTTCTTAGTAAATTCAGTTTTACTTTAATTCTACATCAGTTCCATCCTAATTCAATTCAATTCAAATACACTAAATATTTTTGTCACCCAGGTTAGATTTATTAACCTATGAAATACAATTACACAGGAAGAAAAGATATGTGTTTGTGTTTTGATGTATTTACTTCCAGTTTTGGCTTATATCACTCAAGATTGTAGAAAATGTCAAATTTCCACTAGTTGATTTGTAAATTCTAAGGAAAGTGGGATAATTACACAATAAAGTAAACCAGTAAATACTTATGGTAGTTGGTGATGTATATGACTATACTCATGGTAAGATTCTTACAACTTTTTCATATGTTTAAAGTTTTTTTTTAACAAAAAATGGGGGTCTATTATTGTTGTGACCATTACTGGAGAAAAATATGTGTCCCCCAACTCTTCTTTTAGAATAAATTTTTCAAACTGGAGTTTTAAAATCAAAAGTACAAGTATTTCAAAATTTTTAGTATTTAGATGAAAATACTTCTCCAAATGTTTGTTCCAAGTTTTGCTTTCACTAGTAGGATACCTGCCTGTTAAAATAACACTTGTTTTTTAAGATTTATTTATTTATTCATACAGAACTGGGGTACAGGTCAGAGGTACAGGGATGGTGAGAGCTTCACCAGAGACAGAGTAGAGAGCAGAACAGGCAGATCAATGAAGTACACTGCTGAAGGGAGTAGCAGGCAAGACAGGAGAAGTCTGCCGCACCACGTGAATCACCTCCTGGGCTGGGGATTGAACTCACATTGAAGCGGCTGCGGCTAGCTTGCAGTGCTGCGTCCTAACCCATTGTGCCACCAGGGGGTGCCTGAAGTAACTCTTTTAAGATTTATGAAGAACCCTAAGAAATTGTGACTTATATACAGTGAAATTCATATATCTTAAATACATAGCTCAATGAGTTAGTATAAATGTATACACCTGTGTAACCAACATCACTAACAAGATATACATTTCCATTATTGCAGAGAATGGTTCCTTCCTGCCTCCACCCCCTTTCAGGCAAACACTGTGCTGATCTCTTTCTACAAAGACTAGACTTGTCTTTTCTAGTCTGTCTTTTTTTTTTTTTTTTTTTTTTTTAAAGATTTATTTATTCATACAGAACTGGGGAACAGGCCAGAGGCTCAGGGGCGGTGAGAGGCTTCACCAGAGACAGAGTGGGGAGCAGAACAGGCAGATCGATGAAGTACACTGCTGAGGGGAGCAGCGGGCGGGTCAGGAGAGGTCTGGCTCGCCATGTGGTCTCCTCCGGGGCAGGCGGGAGGCGGGAATCGAACTCATGTGGAAGTGGCCTCAGATTCTCAGTGCTGTGCTTTAACCCGCTGCGCCACCAGGGAGGGCCTCTAGTTTGTCTTTTAAAAGGAGCAATACAGTGTATATTCATAAGTCTGTCTTTTGCTTAGCATGCTGTAAAGACTCAACCATGGTGTTGCAGGAATTTGATCTTTGTTGCTAAGTAGTATTTCATTGTATCTGCTCATTAACTCTTGTTAAATGCTCTCATGAAACAGCATTTAAAATTTTAAAAATATATGTAATTCAATATATTTTTATACCATTCATATGAAAAAGTAAGCTGTGTGTATTTGACTAAGGTCTTTCTAAGATAACAGCTGTGCAAAAACAAATAGATAGCATGTGTGTGTGGGAGGAGGGGAGAATCCTCCCACAGGTCAGAGGAAAGACACTTGCCAGAGGGTGAAATTACAGGTATATACTACAGGTTGGACCTGTTTAAGACACGGATAGCACTCAAAACTGTACTTATCAAAAGCGTAGTTTTCTTGAAAACATATAAATGAACTACAAGAATTAAAGTGATCTCAGGCCAATTTTGACTTTTTCTGGCATATATTTTGAAGAGTGTAAGAGAATTTCCCATGAGAAAAAAGTCTATTTTATCTTCTCTCAACAACTTAATTAATTGGCAGTGAATTCTATTTTTAATTCTCATGGAATTAGGTTTTTTATAAGAAATGAAAGACATCCAGTTAAAAAAAATCACAAAATAGTATCCCAGAATTCTAGAACTGAAAGGAACCCTTGAAGTCATCTAGCTCAAATTCCTTATTGTACAATTAAAGAAAATTAGGTCCAGAGAGATTACATGATTTGTCAAAGGTCCCACAGCTGGTTCAGCCAGACCTGGGGCCAGAGTTTTGGCCTCCTGGGGCCCAGCCCATTTTCCATTGTTACTCCACCACCTTGCCTTTTCATGAGTAGAGACCAGGTGGCCTTCTATAACTCAGGTCCTTTGGACTGTGAGCTGTTTTCTAAGGCACAGGGGATTCATCAACTCCAAAGTGGGAGTATGTTCTCCTCTCTGACTGTTCAGCCCTCTTACCTTTCAGACTTTCAACTCCGAAGCCATAATTTCCCCATACTCTGCTATGTGTGTGCTTCAAGTTTGGGTCATTCTGCATGTCTTCACCTTGAACTTAAATAGCTTTGTAAGAATGTGTCAAACTCAACATCTATTAAGCATAAGGATTTTAAATTTTATTTTTGAAAAGTTCAGGTTTTTATAGGTGCTGCAATTATTTTGAATGTTCACAATATTCACAGAAGGTAATAAGCTTGTAACTCAGCAGAGGCAGCGAAAGGTCATCTCCAATGAGGTAATCCTTTCCACACTAGAGGAAGAGGAGGGAACCTGCCACAAAGGCTCCTCACATGCTCCGTAGGTATGTTACTTAAGACTGAAGTAATCCTTTTTTCATTTATGACTTCTTGTGCCTTAGGAACTTTCCCCATTCTGTAACCTCTGGGAGCTCTCTTCTACTAACTTGCTAGGTGAATTCAAGAGTCATTTAATAAAGCCAATTAGATCTTTATTTTTTCTTAAAGGGACTTATTAAATATGCGTTTTATGCCAATGAAACCAAACTTAAAGATACTGTCAGAAATATGTAACATTCCAAATGGAATAAAGAATGGTAAAACTGGTGAAAGGCAAAGGCTGGTATCCATATCAGATAAACATAAGGCAGGCAGGAAGGGAAATTATATCATTCACATGAAGCTTTGGATTAATCTCAAGCTTTTAGGTGAAGCAAGCTTATTGCTAATGGGAAAATCCTGGGTGCCTACTGGAACACTGACCTATCCCTGGCTTTGTGTTTTGCAATATTCTTGGGTAAGGGCTTAGCAACTCCTCTTTTGTGGTGGAAGAGTGAGATGTGATAGAAATTGTCAGACTCCTAAAGTAGGTAGTGATCTTCTGTATTATCTGTTCAGATATTATACCTAGAAGCCATGATTCTCCATGTAGAGAAAGTAGTAGGGAGCACTGATTATTTCATTCCTTCAAGCAAGCATAAAATTTCACTAGCTGAACACAGGTCTGTTATATGTAAGCCACGCGCAGTCATAGCCACAAGCACATAGTCCACAGAAAACAAGACATGATGCTTATTACTAAGCACCTTTGGTTGTTTTCAAGTATACTTTCTGTTTTGCCAAGAGCACAAAGCCTGAGGCAAATTAAAAAGGAAGATCTTTTATTCACTCGATATTTTTTCAACAAACTATGAAAAAACAGCTACTATTTGCAGAGCTGAACATTTCTGCCCAATACACTGTTGGAAATTCTGCTTGAAAATCATTGTTTTAGAAGAAAATATCTCCCCAAAAGCCATGGATTCTTCTGTATCCTCCTTTATTGCTCTATTCTGCACTTCAGACTTGTCAGGGTCTTTCTACTATTTTCTGTGTAAATTATTATTTAATAATTTTCTTTGCAATAAGATATCAATTGTCATTCAGGCAGAAGGTTTATTTATTCCAAAGAGAGTTCTTTTTGTTTATGGGGATAGATCACTTTCAGTCAAAGGACTTAATTTGTAGGTGTCAATGAGAAAAGGAAGTAGCCAATTACCATCGGGAGAGTCAAGAATTGAAGAGCGGTGAGGGTTGAGGGTAGAGGGCAAAGAGGAGAAGCAGTATCTACCGTGAAGTTACTTAGACTAGTGTTTTCTTATGTAACCAATTCCATGTGATTTGATTATACATTTGGCTCATTTGTTACTATTTATATTGCATCTTGGGTTTACCCCACACCCCAACACCTCAGTCATTTTTTTTATAGCAGTATAATTGACATATAACAGTATATTAGTTTCAGGTGTTCAAAATAATGATTCGATATTTATATATATTGTGAAATGATTGCTACAATACATCTAGTTAACATCTGTCACCATACATAGTTATAATTTTTCCCCATGATTAAAACTTTTAAGATACTGTCTTAGAACAAATTTGTAGTACAGTATTAGTAACTCAAGTGATTGTACTGTATATTCCATCCCTGTGAATTATTTATTTTATAACTGGACATTTGCATCTTTGACCCCCTTAACCCATTTTATCTAACCCTTCAACCCCTCCATCACTATAATTATTTATTTATGTTGGGGGTATCTGAAACATTACTACAGTTCTAAAAGTCAGAAATAAACAAAAAGATGTTCCCGAAGAAGTTTAACTGATGATGTACAACTCATACATATTTTATCTCAGTCATTTTTTCATATTTTCTCTGGATATTATTTCACTCCATATTAATGTTTAATATTTGTCTTTCTCCCCCAGCATTTCAGGTGGATTTTAGAAGAGAACCCTAGATAAAGATATGGTTAAAGATAGATATATAAAGGATTTATACACATATTAACAGAAATCATTGCCATTTCAGAATGCTCTACTCAGCCATGTAAACACAAAACAATCCTTCTATAGACTGTTGATGGAATTAAGTCAGGTGGGAACTCTGTTAGTGGAAGGATAGAGGGAGGCTACTGAGAACTGTTCCTCACACTCCCTTCAACTGCACACTGTGTCTTTGGGTTTGAGGATCCTGGGGAACCACAATCACCAGCTGAGAGGTCGTTGCTCCTGGCAGATTTTCCATCCTCTGAGAAGCCTGAGGCTGTGTCAAGCGCCTTCCCTTTCCAGGTTTGTGCAGCACCACATATACAAGGCAGCATCTCCCTTCTTCCTTCTTGTGTCCCTTGTACTTCAAACTCTTGTTCTCCATCAGAGAGTGCCTTATTTATATTGGCTGCCATACATTCTGAGAAAAACCAAAACATAAAAGTCAAAAGCTTGAACTGTCTTCTTTAAAATGACTCTTCTTTAAAATGACTCATATTCTTTCCTTTCCCTCCAAATTGCTGCTGAAAAATATCCAAGTGTAACGTTAGTACAGTACTTCAATGCAATGCATAAATTAGTTAGTGCACATGGGTTAACACTCCATGGAGTCGACTTGACAAGGGGACTACAGAAGCCTTGGGGCAAGGGCTGCCTCTTCTACCTGAGCACACCCAAAGGGCCCTACAGCAGTGTCTAATTTGGAGAACATCCATATTAACTGTCTTTTAAAAAAATTATTGTCAGTTATTTACATTTCTATATAATCTTGAGGTTACATATTTATACCTCATGTGTGCACATGCTTCACTCACCCTCCACCAAACTTCTTGTGCTAATGTTCATTCTCCTCTACAATTTTTCAGAGGAATCTAAGAGTTATTTTTACTATGCATTATTACTGTTAAGGGGAAAGGATGTCCTGAAGGACTCTACCTCTTCTCCAGTTTCCTGAACTCCACTCCCTACTCCAATGATTGGAAACTACAACTCCCAGCAATACCAAGGAGAGAACTGTGAGGACCCAAGGGTTGAGATAAGCAGGCGTTCTGGGACTTTTCAGAGATATAACGGAGCAATGTGGGACACTCTCTCTTTCTGGACTGCCGTGGTTCTCTCTGGACTATGTGGCTCTCTGGACTGTGGGGCGCTCTCCGGACTGTGTAGCTGGTGGCTCTCAGTGTGTTACTGGAGTTCTAAGTCAGTGGAGCTGGAAGGGTGGTCTAGTTAATTTGTATCTCTCTCTCTTTCCCTGAGTTGTTCCTTTTCCCCTTTTGTAAATGAACCCATTATTGACCCTTTTTGTGTGTCTGCTGTATAATTGAATTTTAAGTGTGTGGGGTGAGGACCCACAGACAGGCAACCCAGTTCACATTGGATTGCCCCGTAACATTACCAGTAATGTTCATTGCTTATTTATTTTCTACAGATAAGGGATACCATTCGGTAGTGACTTTTATCTTTTTTCATAGCTGAGTAGTGTTCTATTGATTATATATTCTACAATTTCTTTAATTGTCATAGGGCCCTTGGGTAGGTCCCAATGACTTGGCGATTGCAGACAGTGCTGCCATGGGCATAGGAAGGCATCAATCTTTTCATATTAGCCTTTTTAATATATTCTTTGGGGTGGTATCTGGCAGTAATATTGCCAGATCCCACATTAAACTTTCTTCCTTCTCAACTCTTCCCAATCCTCTCTTAATGTTTGGAACCACTTTCCCAAATAATTACCTACACATAAGACTTTATCTCAGACTCTGCTGATGGAAACGTTCTTCCTAAAAAAAAAGTCCTTAGATTATAGAAATGTAATTTGTTTAGTTATTTTTGTTTGTTTTTCACCTCTGTAAATGTTTTCCTTTCTTCACATTTTTCTCTGTTGTATTTATTGAGATGCCTCAAGCCTGTCCTGAATTTTCAAACAAATTTTCTCATTCCAAATGATTAAGTCTTTGCAATGATATCATTTGTCTCTTTTATTTCTTTCTGGAGTTTTGCCAGCCTCCTTTTCACTACTCTTGATAGGTTTTGGTCTTTGAATTCTTTTTTCTCCTGTCTATATCCATTCTGTTAAATTTTCAAGGGATCAAAATGCATGTAAAGGAAATTAATTTTATGATGTATGTACTTCATAAGATTTACTTTTATTTACCCTCCTTAAAAAAAAGCATTGTTTTGTCTATGCTCAGTTCCATGCTAGTTTCTTTCTGACTAGCTGTCATTTTTAATAGGTTAACAATTTGTTCAAGGAAGAATGGTACAAATGAGAGATGTAGTCTGTATTTTCATTTCCCTGAGGGGCTCCCTCGGCTTGTTTTCAACATTTGAATGCACAGTGTGGCTTGCAGAAAAGCCATTTATATCCTTGCACTCTCATGATTTCTCTTCCCTCTCCTCTTTTGTACCTTTAGTGCCTCTCTTTGCCAGAAAAGCAAATGGTAACAATAATTACTTTCATTGTGTTATTTTGTGGTATTGACTGGGCATCTTAAGAGCCAATCAATTTTCCAAGGCCCCAGTCAAAACTAAATCCTAATGTCCCTTGCTATACTTAAAAGACTACATGGAAATGCTCAGTTGTTCAAATTGTCCTTAACCAATAATGTCAGCATTACCTGTGAGCTTGCTACAAGTCCAGCTTTCCAATCATCAGTTGTTGAATAAGAAACCCCGGCGGTAGAATGCAATAATTATCAATGCCTTACAAAACTTAACTAATTATCAAGGCTACCAAAAGGAGAGGGTGGGTTTGGGGATAAAGCAGGGTGGAGCATGTTGAGACCACATATTTGTAGAGGTGGGAGAACCTCTATTGCTAAAACATACACAATTTTGTAAATAAATGTCACCAGGGACTTCCCCACTGCTGCCCCTAACTGTGTACGTCATTGATCAGCCTGTTCTTCTCCCCACTCTGTCTGTGTTGAATTCTCTCATGGCCCCCAAACTTCGGGCCTGTACCCCAGTACTATATGCATAATTAATAAAATTTTTAAAAGAAGTAAATGTTACCTGAAAAAATATTTTTTTTTAAAAAGGAACTCCTTAATTGATTTGGATGCATGCTACAGTTTTGAGGACCATTGAAGCCAAGACAAGGACTAAGATTTGTTTTAACTTTTAGCATGTTCTCTCTTTTTGGCCCAAATTACACAGATTTGGGGATTTACAACTGTGGTTTAAGGTTGTGATTCTCTCTTTGTCATAAGAAACTAGAGGGTTTTTTTTTCTTTTTAAACCTGTTTTTAGTGTGATTCAAGGGTTTAAAAAATAAATTTAAGCCCCAATTTATAACTGGAATTCTGAGCCTCTGATCTGAAAGACAAGTTGTCCATAAAAGGACGGGGCCAACTTAGGGGTTGGAGACCCGGTTCAGCTCCCAGGTCTGTATCTGATTAGCTTATGACCTCTGTGGAGCCACTTGACCTCATCAGCTTCTTTGAGAAGGCAAACTCCAAGCCTTTGAGTAACAGAAGTCTTCCTTGAGTTTTTTTTCCTTAGCTCAAGTTTAAGTGCCTCAAGTGATAGGTTTCTGTTTCCTTTCCTATGACATGTCATCACTAGGGAGAGCTCATTGCCACAGCTTTGAAGCCTGAACTATTCCTAGTTGCAATTTAGATTCATTCTTGTTCAGAGACAGTGACTTTTATCCTCCAAGTTAAGACAATTTATTCCAAATTTCAGGTCTTCAGCAAAAGCTAGAAGCCTGGGCAGGGCTTGCTTTCCACATTCTCCACAACTCTGCTTCTCTGGGTTCAGGGAGTACAGAAGGTAAACATGCCAGCACAGGGTCCCAGCATAACACCATAAAATGTGTGTGTTATTTCAGACTGATATTCCATGGTCAATTGAGCTCATCACACTCCTTCTTCTTGGCTGTATAATTATTGTTGCCAATTTACAGTAGCTCTTGGACAAGTTGTGGCACCCAGAAGACTCCTCCCCTCTAATCATTTCAAGGACCTCTGTTTCCAACTTCTAAATGGGTTCATTTATTCTTTCATTTTCTTGGTCATTTATTGTCTAGGAAAGTGCAACGTCAAGTGTTTCAGCTGGCTAATCCACATTGGTTGTTATCAACTGGTGATGAAAGAAGTTCAGACACAGAGAGTAAGCCTACAGAAATCCGCAGAACAATTTGACATTTTCATGGCAATCAAGTTGATGGCCAGTGGTGTGGGCTCATGGAGTGGGAATAAGCCAGTTGGGAATTGTCTAAAATTGTGGTATCCCTGCCTGTCAAGACTGGTTGAAAAATTTGGGGGACACAATACAAAATAAAAATGTGAGTCCCTTGCTCAAAAAATATTAAGCATTTGAGATGGCAGCTGTAGAGCATTAAACCAAACTGCACAAATGCACAGTTCACATGCCCATAAACTGGAACTGCATGTACTATAATGTGTACACAACCATGTAGGTAGATTTGTTACCTCTAAAAAAGGTGTAAAAATCTGAGAAAATGTGGACATTTTCAAAATTTTTAGTTCCCCTGTTTTTCATTTTTTTTTTTACCTTTCTTGGTTAATTAGGATTGTTAAAACTTTTTTTTTTTTTTTTTTTACTTTTTTTTTTCTTTTTTTTTTTTCGTTTGCTTTTCAGGAAAAAAAACATACTTTTTGAGGATAAATGTGAGAATACAGGAAGCTATTTGAAAAAATTCAAAAGTGAGATAATTTGTATTAGTTTGACAAAGATTCATCTCCTTCATATATTGGTTTCCATTACTAGTCCTAATTAAAGGTGAACTGTGTTATTACAGATGTGATGAATGAGCAGTGAGGTAGTTGTGGTAAAGTGACATCACCTGAAGACCTGAAGGGGTAGGTGTCTAAAGTACAATAAAGATGTAAACCAATGTTCACTAAATAAACAAATTATAAAAGAATTACTTTGTCTCAGGTTTGATTTATGCAAATCTGTGTAAGAGAATGTTCTTCTGGCACCGTTGTAATGGCAGAAAAACATTCTGCATTATGTGTGAGGTTATAAAACTTGCAACTGAAAGTAAACCGATGCAATAATTACTTCATCAAGAAAATTTTGCTGTGAAAAATGTGTCCACTGAACTAAACAGTGGACTTAGGGACCTAGTAAAAACTGTGAAATATTTAGAAATTAATGTGTTAAATGTGAGATTATTCTCTTTATTATAATGATCATAGAGAAACAGATAAATAGCTTACTATATGCTGAATCTGGTAGTTGTCAATGGGAAAAGTTCTCTGGGGACTATTTCAAATATGACCTCTTAGTATTCTTATAAGATTAGAAGCCAATTTGTTTCCACATTTTAAAATATGTCAATTGAAAAATAAGGTTTTATATGTCTGCTATCTACATTTCTAATGATCTCAATATTTCCATGCATGGATAGGTTGCAAGTTTTACAAAAGCATATAAAATTGAAGGGCAAGAAATGAAAGATAAAAGCTTGGAAGAACAGTGCTACTAAGGATTATTATGGTATTTATGTTATTTCACAATACCTACTAATGAAATAATGTTAATATTGCTGATTTGCAAAAAGCTACAGGCCCAGTGCCATCAAATTGAATGGAATTTTGGACTTTACTTTCCAACAAAAGAAGATCCAAGATTAGGAAATTCAAGGGCCTGGAATTTTTTCCTTCTTTGAAAGATGATTTAAATTTAAGTGGAAATTTTAAGATAGATTGTTGAAATGAACTACTGATGGACTGGATTTTGAAAATTCAGCAATACTTTCTCATTTTGGATAAAAGATAAAAATGACTATCCTGAGACTGCTGAAATCACTTTAAAAATTTTTCCAATCCTGTCAACATAGCTCTGAGGATCTGGTTTCTCTACTCTGAGTATTA